TGGCAGGAGGTGGACAGGGGCAGCATCCTGGCTAGGTCTGGGGTTCCTAAGCCTAGAGTGGGGCTGGATTGGAGGAAAGGTGACCAGGGGATGAGGAACTGGGATATAGAGGTTACAGGGCAGCAGATGGTGCTGTTCCCAGAAGGGGGATAGGAGAGTGGGGCTCAAAGGGAGCCCAGACCCCCAAGGTGTCTTCCTCAGTAACCATCACATCCTGAGAACACAGGCGGCACCCAGGAGAGTGGCCAGAGCTGCCACTGGCCCCCTATTCCGGCTGGATGCTTGACTCAGCCTTTTGTTGTTGTTGGGTGCCTTCGAATCGGTTCCGACTCGTAGCGACCCTACGTACAACAAAGAAACCCTGCCCTGCCTGCACCATCCTCGCAATCATTGTTATGCTTGAGCCCGTTGTTTCAGCCACTGTGTAAATCCATCTCGTTAAGGGTCTCCCCCTTCTTCACTGAGGACCCTCTACTTTACCAAGCATGATGTCCTTCTTCAGGGACTGATCCCTCCTGATAACACGTCCAAATTATGTGAGACGTAGTCTCGCCATCCTTGCTTCTAAGGAGCATTCTGGTTGTACTTTTCCAAGACAGATTTGTTCATTCTTTTGGCAGTCCATGGTATATTCAATATTCTTCGCCAACCCCACAATTCAAAGGCATCAATTCTTCTTTGGTCTTCCTTATTCATTGTCCAACTTTCGCATGCATATTAGGCTATTAAAAACACCATGGCTTGGGTCAGGTGCACCTTAGTCTTCAAGGTGACATCTTGCTTTTTAACACTTTAAAGAGGTCTTTTGCAGCAGATTTGCCCAATGCAATGTGTCTTTTGATTTTTTGACTGCTGCTTCCATGGGTGTTGATTGTGGATCCAAGTAAAATAGAAATCCTTGACAACTTCAATCTTTTCTCCGTTTATCACGATGTTGCTTATTGGTCCAGTTGTGAAGATTTTTGTCTTCTTTATGTTGAGGTGTAATCCATACTGAAGGCTGTGGTCTTTGATCTTCATCCGTAAGCGCTTCACGTCTTCTTCACTTTCAGCAAGCAAGGTTGTGTCATCTGTATAATGCAATTGTTAATGAACCTTCCTCTAATCCTGATGCCCCATTCTTCTTCATATATATAGTCCAGTTTCTCGGATTATTTGCTTAGCATACAGATTGAATAAGTATGGTGAAAGTATACAACCCTGACCCACACCTTTCCTGATTTTAAACCATGCAGTATCTCCTTGTTTTGTTTGAATGACTGTCTCTTGATCTATGTACAGGTTCCTCATGAGCACAATCAAGTATTCTGGAATTTCTTCTGTTCACAATGTTGTCCATAATTTCTTATGATCCACACAGTGGAATGCCTTTGCATAGTCAATAAAACACAGGGAAACATCTTTCTTGTATTCTCTGCTTTCAGCCAGGATCCATCTGACATCAGCAATTACATCCCTGGTTCCACGTCCTCTTCTGAATCTGGCTTGAATTTCTGACAGGTCTCTGTCAATATACTGCTGTAGCCGCTTTTGAATGATCTTCATCAAAATTTTACTTGCGTGTGATATTAATGATATTGTTCGATACTTTCTGCATTTGGTTGGACCACCTTTCTTTGGAATAGGCATAAATATAGATCTCTTCCAGTAAGTTTGCCAGGCAGCTGTCTTCCAAATTTCTTGGCATAGAAAAGCGAGCACTTCGCTCGCTGCATCCGTTTGTTGAAACATCTCAATTGGTATTCCGTCAATTCCTGGAGCCTTGTTTTTTGCCAGTGCCTTCAGTGCAGCTTGGACTTATTCCTTCAGTACCATTGGTTCTTGATCCTATGTTACCTCCTGAAATGGTTGAACGTCGACTAATTCTTTTTGGGTATAGTGACTCTGTGTTTTCCTGCCATCTTCTTTTGATGCTTCCTTTGTCGTTTAATATTTTCCCCATAAAACCCTTCACTATTGCAACTCAAGGCTTCAATTTTTTCTTCAGTTCTTTTGGCTTGAGAAACGCAGATTGTGTTCTTCTCTTTTGGTTTTCTGTCTCCAGGTCTTTGCACAACATCATTATAGTACTTTACTTTATCTTCTCAAGCCGCCCTTTGAAATCTTCTGTTCAGCTCTTTTACTTCATCATTTCTTCCTTTTGCCTTAGCTACTCGACGTTCAAGAACAAGTTTCAGAGTCTCTTCTGACATCCATTTTGGCCTTTTCTTTCTTTCCTATCTTTTTAATGACCTCTTGCTTTCTTCATGTATGATGTTCTTGATGTCATTCCAAGACTCATCTGGTCTTTGATCATTGGTGTTCAAAGTGTCAAATCTAATCTTGAGATGTCTCTAAATTCAGGTGGGATATACTCTAGGTTATACTTTGGCTCTCCATGGACTTGTTTTAATTTTATTCAGCTTCAGCTTGCACTTGCATATGAGCAATTGATGGTCTGTTCCATAGTTGGACCCTGGCCTTTTTCTGACTGCTGATATTGAGCTTTTCCATCATCTCTTTCCACATATGTAGTTGATTTGAGTCCTGTATTCCATCTGGCGAGGTCCACGTGTATAGTCACCATTTATGTTGTTGAAAAAAGTTATTTGCAATAAAGAAGTCGTTGGTCTTGCAAAATTCTATCATGTGATCTCCGGCATTGTTTCTATCACCAAGGCAATATTTTCCAACTACCGATCCTTCTTTGTTTCCAACTTTCGTATTCCAATCACCAGTAATTATCAATGCATCCTGATTGCATGTTCGATTAATTTCAGACTGCAGAAGTTGGTAAAAATGTTCAATTTCTTCCTCTTTGACCTTAGTGGTTGGTTTGAATAACAGTCGTATTAACTGGTCTTCCTTGCAGGCGTATGGATATTGTCCTATCACTGACAGTGTTGTACTTCAGGATAGATCTTGAAATGTTTGTTCTTTTTGATGATGAATGCAATGCCATTCCTCTTCAAGTTGTCATTCCTGGCATAGTAGACCATATGATTGTCCAATTCAAAATGGCCAATACCAGTTCATTTCAGCTTATTAATGCCTAGGATATTGATATTTATGCGTTCTATTTAATTTTTGACGATTTTCGATTTTCCTAGATTCATACTTCGTACATTCCACATTCCAATTATTAATGTATGTTTGCAGCTTATCTTCTCATTTTGAGCAAATGAAGATTCCAAAAGCTAGACTTCATCCATGTCATTAAGGTCGATTCTCCTTTGAGGAGGCAGCTCTTCCCAAGTCGTCTTTTGAGTGCCTTCGACATGAAGGGCTCATCTTCTGGCACTATATCAGACAGTGTTCTGCTGCTATTCATAAGGTTTTCACTGACTAATTCTTTTCAGAAGTAGACCATTGGGTCCTTCTTCCTAGACTGTCTTAGTCTGGAAGCTCAGCTGAATCCTGTCTGCCATGGGTGACCCTGCCGGTATTTGAATACTGGTGGCATAGCTTCCAGCATCACAGCAACACGCAAGCTCCCACAGTACAACAAACTAACAAATGCTTGGGGGCTCAGCCTTTTAGGGAGCAGGAAATTGGGGTAAGCTGCTATCTGCAGGTGGGGATGGAAGCAGACCCAGCCACAAAGATCTGAGGAAGATGAGGCATGGGAAGCAAGGCCAGGACAGACAAGTGAGCGGAGAGAGAGAAAAACTTCAGAGAATAGGTTGAGAGCAGTGCTAGAAAGATATTCCTTTTGCCTCATTTGTTAAGAAAACAACACTCAGGATAATATCCAGCATCATGAAGAAACAAGCCCTTGTCCCAAGCCCTGGTAAAGGGCCCTTCTCATTGTCATGTCCTCCTGGCATGGGCTGCTGCCACCTCTCCTGCCCTTGATCAGCTGCCCTCCTCTCTGGGTGAACTTCTTCTGTGGTCAAGCAGTTGCTCAGAAGTACAGACCCATGGGAAGGAACACACAGGGAAGGATAAGTTGTGCTTTTCTCTTAAGAGAGCAATCTGTACCTACTCTTTTCATTTCTCTACCTTTACCAACTCTGGGGCTATAATAAATGCTTAAATCAGCATATAAGGAATCATAGTCTACAGCTATTTAAGGGCATGAGGCTTTCTCCACTAGACTCTTAACTGAAACGTATTTTCTAGAAAGTGCAAATCCAGCTCCAGTGGCTGATTTATTTATTTTCAGTCTTTCTCCCTACCCCCAGATGATGGGAAGATTAGGCAAGCGTTGTTGCACAGCATTCACTGGAACCACAAGGTGCATTTCCCAGGAATGTGTAGGTGGGTGGGGTAGAGGTAGGAGTGGCATTCAGGACAGACAACAATAGATATGTTAAGAGCATAGATGAGAGAGAGCTGCACTGAGCTGCCAGGTACCAAGTAGCGGATTAAGAAAAATGAGCCAGAATCAAAGTAACAGTCAAGACTTTAACTATTTATTGCAATAGTACAGGAGTCACTGCGTGGTGCAAACGGTTGATGCTTTTGACTGCTAACTGAAAGGTTGGAGGTTCAAGTACACCCAGAGGCATCTCAGAAGAAAGTCCTCATGATGTACTTCTGAAAAATCAGCCATTGACAACCCTATGGAGCATAGTTCTACTCTGTAACACATGGGGTTGCCATGAGTTGGAGTCAACGGCAACTGGTTTAACCTGGAAAAAGAGTTTTCTTAAAAATTTTTTTATTGTGTTTTAGGTGAAAGTTTACAGCACAAATTAGTTTCTCGTTCAAAAATTTAGCCACAAATTGTTTTGTGACATTGGTTGCAACCCCCGCAAAGTGTCAGCACTCTCCTCCTTCCCCTTTCCACCCCCGGTTCCTCTGTGTTCATTCGTCCACTTTTCCTGTCCCTTCCTGCTTTCTCGTCTTCTCTTTTGGGCAGGAGTTGCCCACTTGGTCTTGTATACTTGATTGATCTAAGAAACACGTTCCTCACGTGTGTGGTTGTTTTATAGGCCTGTCTAATCTTTGGCTGAAAGGTGGACTTTGGGAGTGGCTTCAGTTCTGAGGTGGCAGGGTATCCGGGGGCCATAGTCTCGGGGGTTCCTCCAGTCTCTGTCAGACCAGTAAGTCTGGTCTGTTTTTGTGAATTTTGTTTTTTTAATTGTGGTAAGCATATATATAACAAAACATTTGCCGTGTCAACATTTCTTATGTGTACAATTCACACTCATCATGCTGTGTAACCATCCCTACCATCTGTTTCCAAGTTTCTCAATCACCCTTAACAGATATTCAGCTTTAATTAACAACACGACTTAAACAACATTATTTAAAATAAACAACAGTATTCCCCTCGGTTTTAATCACCACGCCCCTTCCACCCTGAGGTAGTTTCTTGAAGTTTAACAGCCCCACAGCCGCAGGGGCAAGTTAACGGTAAGTACTGTATGCACCGGCTTGCTCCGAGCAAGGTACAACGGGCGTGCTAATCTGTGGTGAGCAATTTCACATGGGTTTCACCTCATTGTTAACGTGGTGGGGTACAGGTGAAACTGTGCTGTGCAGTTTGGTGGCAAGGCGCAGCTGGGCCCATGCGTACCTTGATTATTGGGTAATCCGGCTCTGCCCACAGGAGATGGTCTAAGCAGTTGTCCTGAGAAGACTGAAGGGCCAGACTCCTAAGCTGCAGCCCCAGGAAGTCCTAGCATCTGATGGGGAGGGAGGATGGTGGGTCCGGCGAGGCAGGGTGGAGGAGGAGGAAGGATAAAGCTGAACCCAGGTAGGCTCCCGTTTCTCCTCAGCTCTGCAGACTCAAGCCAAGTGTCCTCCCTGGGCAGAGGGCACATCCAAACTGCTCAGGCCCCCAAACTAGGAATACACCACAAATCACCCTCTTGGGGAGTGTGCGCTTCAGTCAAGGATCTCGGTGACACGGGTCATCAAAGCCCCGCTCGACCAGCTTAAGAAAAGGCGAGCTTGTCTCAGGAATGTCAGAAACCAGGCACTTGGTGAGTCTCCATGTCTGCCTCTCTCACACATAGCTGCTGCTTCTCTCTGTGCTTCAGTCCCAGGCTCTGCGCCGGAAGTTGTTCCAGCAGTGGGGACATGGCTATCCACCGACAGCCTGACCATGAGCCTCGTCTGCTCTGGTGGGGTGGGGTGTTTGCTACCAGAAGGCGTGGGAATAAGGTGTTGGCACTCCATGTGGCGATGACGTCTCAGGAGGAGTCCCAGCTGTGTCTGGAGCTGTGCAGAGCAGGGAAGGTGCCTGGCCAGCTCCTGAGGCCAGGGCAGAGGCCCGGGTCGCAAGCCTCTGGCATGGCATCTCGAGGACTTAGGGGCTGTTTCTTCTGCAGGCACCTGTGTCTGATCTGGAAACCGGGTCCAGGGTTGGAAGGTTCTGCTCTTCCATATAAGGGGCTGTGTCTTTGGTCAGAGGGTCCCAGGACAAGTCCACACAGTCAGGTCAATCCCATTGCTCCTCTGGACCCTCTGAGACCCCTTCAACCAGAGTACGGCACCAAGCAAGATGAGCAGGATGGGCACCTTCACAAATACCAGGAGCATGTAGTGGGTCCTGTGAGAGGGGCAGAGGCGCAGAGCGAGAGCTGGAGGACTTCAGTTCCCCCAGAGCTCTCATTCCCTGTGCCCCAACACGGTGGAGCCATTACCCCACTCAGCCTGGAACCCTGGGCACAGTAGCCCTGCTGGGGAGACCACTACAAACCACCATAACCTGCTCAGATCTTTGGATAGTAACCTCAGCTGGTTTTGTACTGGCCCACCTTCCTTTCTAATTTCACCTCTGGGACTTCTGCCCAAAGTACATTTCAGCCCAATAGAAGCACCGAAAACCAGTTGCCCTCGAGCCATCTCTGACTCATGACAACCCCACGAGTGTGAGAACAGAATTGCGCTCCATAAGGTTTTCAATGGCTGACTGTTTTGGAAACAAATTGCTAGGACTTTCTTCCGAGGCATCCCTGGGTGGACTTGAACCTCCGGCCTTCTGGTTAGCAGCCAGGTGTGTTAGCTGCTTGCACCATTCAGGGACTCCAATAGAAGCACCTAAACTCATTGCCGTTGAGTTGATTCTGACTCATAGCAACCCTATAGGACAGAGTAGAACTGCCCCATAGGGTTTCCAAGGCAGTAATCTTTATGGAAGCAGACTGCCACATCTTTCTCCCGCAGAGCAGTTGTGAATTCAGACCACTGACCTTCAGTTAGCAGTTGAGTACTTTAACCATTGCACTGCCAGGGCTTCCTTATAAGTACCTAAAACCCACTGCCATCGAGTTGATTCTGACTCATAGTGACCCCATAGGGTTTCTAAAACTGTAAATCTTTATGGAAACAGACTACCATATCTTTCTCCTGCAGAGCCGCTGGTGATTTGGAACCACCAACCTTTTGGTTAGCAATCGATTGATTTAACCACTGCACCACCAGGGCGCCCACCACCAGGGCTCCTATAAACCAAACCCAAACCCACTGCTGTTGAGTTGATTCCAACTCACAGCAACCCTACAGGACAGAGTAGAACTGCCCCATAGAGTTTCCAAGAAGCGGCTGGTGGATTCAAACTGCTGACTTTTGGTTAGCAGCCAAGAGCTTAACCACTGCACCACCAGGGCTCTTAAGCACCTAGAGACCCCCAAATATAGTTTTCCTGCCTCTGTGCTTTTGCTATTCTTGCTAATGCCAGCTCCAGGTCACTTTCCTCAACCACCGAGGTTAACTTATCTCCCTGCTCTGTGGCACTTGCTGCTTTGCCTCATGTCTTATCTCCCCTTGGCACCCACTAGGTCATCAAGTGTTTTTGTCAGCCGACTGAATGAGTGGATGATATATAGAGAAGAGTTCCCCAGAGAGATTCTGCTGAGGGCTCAAATGGGAAGAGAGTGGATGAGGAGTAATAACAGGACAGATGAGACAGAGGGTGGGCTCGGGGACTTAACTTGGGCTATACCAGGCTCTAGTGGGGATGTGCAGCTGATATCAGGCCATAGCACTGAGTGTTATGGATAGAACTGTGTCCCCCAAAAAGATACGTTGAACTCCTAACCTCTGGTACCTATGAGCATGGCCTTGTTAGGAAATACGGTCTTTGAAGATGTTGCCAGTTAACATGAGGCCATACTGGAGTAAGGTGGGTCCTAATCTGATATGAGTGGTGTCCTTATAAAAGAGAAGAGACACAGAGACAGACAGAGATGGAAGGAAGATGTCCATGTGAAGATGGAGGCAGAGATTGAAGTGATGAATCTACAAGCCAAGGAATGCCAAGGATTGCCGGCTGTCACCAGAAGGTAGGACAGAAGCATGGGACGGATTCTTCCTCAGAAGGAATCCACTTGGCCAACACCCTGATTTCAGACTCCTAGCTTCCAGAAACATGAGACAATTCACTTCTGTGCTTATAAGCCACCTAATTTGTGGTACTTTGTTACAGCAACCCATATTAGGAAACTGATACGGTGGCAGAAGGAGTCCTCAGCCTTGGCTTCCCCATAGGAGGAGCCCCAGGTAGGGTCAGGAGAAGGAGCTGCAAGGACTCACCTGACGTAGGAGGTGGAGGACTTGGCTAATGGTTTGGAAGACAGGTTTGTTGGTGTGGTCAGAACTGCTTTCGCTGGACAAAGGCAAAGTTAGTCACAGGTTATGGGCTTTAGATTGGAGGTTCATGAGTGGCTGACAACACCAACCCTGCCCTGCCAGATGAGAAAGTACCTACCTGAGCCAACAGTCACTTTAACTTGGACTCCAAGGTCAGATCCACTTTTCTCAATCCCACACCAGTAGATGTCGGCATCCTCTCTGCTGAGCTTCTCCATGGTCACCATGAAGGAGTGGTTCCTGTGATTGTCCCTGATAGACAATCCGTCTTCCTTCACTTCTTGCTCTGTTCCTGTACTTTGAATGAGGATCTTACAGAAATTCCAGATTTTCCCTTGGCACCACCACTTTCTGTGGGTCTTCTACGCTGCATCATAGCGGCACTGCATAGTCACCGAGCCCTGCTCTGGGTTGCTCACTGACTTCGGACCTTGGATTGAGAAGCAGCCTGGAAAACAGAATCCCAAGATAGAGCTCCCCCACCCTGAGCCAGGTTGGCCAAGGAGCCCCATGGAGCTTACGGGGCCCCAGGCCGATACCCAAGGCCTTCCCAGCCACTGCCTAACACACCTGACTCCTCACATCCTCTCTCCTTCCTTGTCCCTTCAAGGCTGTTCTCATCTGCTCTCCTCCTTCTTCTCTGCCTCCTCTGTCTCAGAGGCCTCTGCTGATTCTCTTCTCTTCCCTTCTCGTTAAATCTTGATGTAACCAGTGGCATGTTGGTCAACTTGCTAAAAACGTCCTGGTTTGCAGCATTTGCCAATTCCTGTGGTGTAAATACTCCCACCATGGCTAATTTCAGGCTGTCAATGTGATGTCACTGGATGCAGAGTTGGAAAGACGTGTCCATAATCAGCTCTTGTGAGGAGGTATGAGCCTATACAAGCAGGTACAAACTGGCTTCTGCACACCAGGGATGCTCCAGGGTTCTCTCTCCAGCCTTCATCTCACCTCACTTCATGTGCCCCTCTGATTATTTCCTTCCACTATGGCTCCAAGTATTGTCTAAGTACTGATGACTCTCAAATCTACATGTAATCCCACTTCTCCCCTTAGCTGTAGCCCACTGTTTACAAATACACACTGGATGTCTCTACCTCGAATTGCATAGTTACAGAACTAAGCTTACCACCTCCTCCATGCTGAACCTACTCTTCATCAGTATTTCCCCTCTAGTGGAGTTTCACAGGGGCAGGCCGACAAAAGTCTGATATAAGTTGAGCAGGTTAGAGATGAGTATAAATTGAGTGGGTATCCTGTTAAATTGGCTGATTCCTGTTAAGATGACCGTTTTGAGATAGGCTCTCTTTTCTTGCCGATGACCACATGTGCGTTGGCCACACGGAAGTGAACAAAGGGGCAGAGAATCATGGTGCAATCCTCTCTTGACACGCACAGCCTCAGAGGCTCGGGGGCAGGACGAGGTCTCTGCAAAGCGAGGAAGTTAGGACAATCGCACCATCCACTATGCTGCCCCCTCCTCACCCCTTGGTACATTTTTCCCTGAGCCACTTTAGTTGAACTGAGGTTGGCCATTTGTAGTCAATAGAATAATGTCCTTCTCCCTCCCCAAAGATGTCCACTCCTAATCCCTAGAACCTGTGAATATGTACCTTGCATGGCAAAAGAGACTTTGTAGATGTGATTAAGTGAAGGATCTTGAGATGGGGAGGTTATCCTGGATTATCCAGCAGGTCCAGTGTAGCCACAAGGGTCCTTATAAGTGAAAGGGGGAGGCAGGAGAATGAGTATCAGAGTCAGAGAGAGATATGAAGATGTTATGCTGCTGGTTTTGAAGATGGAGGAAGGAGCCAGGAGCCAAGGAATGCAGGTGGCCTCTAGAAGCTGGAAAAGGCAAGGAAATAAATTCTAGGACTTTGAACCAGTTTGTTCCAGTTTGAATTCCTGCTGAGAATTTGCATTTCTAACAAGTTCCCAGAAAGGAGCCCTGGTGGCTCAGTGGTTAAAGTGATCGACTATTAACTGAAAGGTTGGCGGTTCAAACCACTAGTGGCTCTGTGGGAGAAAGAGGTGGCAGTCTGCTTCCGTAGAGATTTATAGCCTTGGAAACCCTATGAAGTCACTTTGAGTTAGAATTGACTCGACGGCAATGGGTTTGGTTTGGTTTTTGGTTTAACAAGTTCCAAGGCAATGCTAATACTGCTAGTTAGGGACCAATTCCGAGAACCATTAGCACAGCAGTGGTTCTCAAAATTTATTATACGTAAGAATCACCTAGGAATCTTGTTAAACTGTAGGTTCTGATTGAGTGTATCTTGGGTGGAAATGCAAATTCTCAGTAGGGGTTCGAACCGGAACAAACTGGTTCAAAGCCCTGATAAATTCTCCCTTAGAGCCTCCAGAAGTAATACACTTGATTTTACCCAGTGAAACCATTTTGGAGACCCTGGGTGATGCAAATGGTTAACATGCTCAGCTGCTAACCAAAGGGTTGGTGGTTTGAGTCCACCCAGAGGCACCTTGGAAGAAAAGCCTGGAGATCTACTGCCAAAAAACCAGCCATTGAAAACCGTATGGAACATAGTTCTATTCTGACACACAGGGTCGCCATGAGTCAGAATTGACTGGCCGACAAAATCAATAAATAAAAGATCTTCAAAAATGTAGCATAATAAATTTGTGTTGTTTTAAACCACTAAGTTAGTGGTAATTTGTTATAGTAGCAATAGGAAGCTAATACAGTATTTCATTTAGGAGAACCAACTTTATACTCTTCAAACCAAGAGCTTTACTAGAGAACTCGGTTTCTTCGTTGACTCTGTCTTCTCCCTCATTCTCCACAACCAAATTTAACACAATTTCATCAATTCTGCCTTAGAAACACTTCTTAAAATTATCTTTTTATTTACCTTCTGTGCTGTCACAGTCCATGAGAACAGCATGACATAGAAAGATTATGAAATGTGTATGCAGAGAAATACATTTACCACTGAGTAGATGGCAAACCTTGGGCAATTACTTAGCTCTGAGCCTTGGTTCCTTATTTGTAAAATGGCTATGTCACTTCCACCTTGCAGGTGGGGGTGCTCCATTAGCTTCAGCTGGTAGACAGGCCAGGGCCCCATCTCGTGCCAGGATTGTGGCAGGAGTGTCCTGAGATGTCCCCTGCCTCCTGCAGCACCCATCCTCCAATCTCCTCTCCAAATCGCTGCTAGAGTTTCGTTCTGAAGCTGTCCCCACCTCCTCTGCATCTGCACTTGCCATGAGCCCTTAAACATCTTTCTGGACGTCTCCAGCAGCCATGTTCCACCGCTGCCTCAGAATGAGTTAAAATCCCTTCGTTTGGCATTCAAGATTTTTTTGCAGTCTGGATCTGTTAGGGATAGAAATGTGTTTCCCCCAAATATGAATTGGAATCCTAACCCTTGTGCCTGTGGATCTAATCTCATTTCCCTTCATTTCCTCAGGGCCTGGTGCAATGCCTGGCATGTAGTAGGAGCCAAGCACATTTGGCTGAATGAATTAATAGAGGCTCCTTCTCATTGGCCTGGATGGGACCTCTCCCCTCAAACCCAGGGCAGGCCCTCTCTGCCTCCTGCCTTGCTCCTATAGTCCTGAGATCCCAAGACCCCAGTCTTGGGAGGCTGAGAAGGAGCAGAGCTGGGGGTAGCCACATGGTCCAGCCTCCCTGGCTCCTGCCTGTCTGTCTAGAGTCGGCACAAATCGGGATCCTGCTGGACCCTCGAAGCTCTTGCCTGGGCCTAGAGGCTTGCACCTTCTTTGTGCCCAGACCATCTTTGTGTTTCGTGCCCATTCGCTTCCTTTTACAGAATAAGTATTTCCTGCTTTTAGTTATTCAGCAAAATGATGTTGTTTCTTGGCTGGGCTGAGTCACAGGGCGTGATAGTCTTCACTAGGTAGGGTAGAGGAAGCAAGAGGGCTGGGCAGGGAGAGGAGGAGTCTGCAGGAGGGTCAGAGGAGGGCATCTGGGCTATCGGATCTTGGGCACAGGAGGCACAGTCAGCCTGGACACCAACTCTGGAAATGGGTCTACACTGCAGTGATGGGGCCCAGCAGCAGGGAACCCCCACTCAGAGGGGTCAGGTGGGCCATGCTCAGCACACCTGGAGATGCCTCTGTTCAGGGAGTATAGCCTAAAAAGTGCAGACTGTGGGGTCAGACAGACCTGGACTCTAACCCCACAAGCACCACTTACAAGCTGTGCAGTCACGGACAAGTTACTTAACCTCTCTGAGCCTCAGTTTTCTTTTATGTGTAAATCGGGCTCGTAACAGTTGTTGTGAGAATTAAATGAGAAAACGTATGTGAAGTTCTGAGGACAGAATCCCAGGATGGAGTTAGCACTTTGTACATTAGATGTTATTATTAGTACCCAGGGAAGACCTCAGCCACCAGAGGAAGAGTAAGATAAAATAAGCCCAGGGCATTTTAAAGGACAGTGAAACTACGCTGTGTGATACTGTAATGGTGGATACATGACATCATGCATTTGTCCAATCCCATAGGACTGTACAACGCAAGAGTGATCTCTAATGTAAACTAGGAACTTCAGATAATAATCATGGATTGGCTCATCAATTAGAACAAATGTACCACACTAACGCCAGATGTTAATAATAGGAGAAACCGTGCCCAGGCAGAGAGGGGATGTATGGGAACTTTTCTCTACTTTATGTGCAATTTTTCTGTAAACCGAAAACTGCTCTAAGAAATAGTGTATTAAAAAGAAATTCATCCACATACAAAAAAACAAGGCCAGGGCAGGGGGCTGAGAGGAGGCTAGTGGGCTGGATTTCCTCCCTAGTAATAAGACAAATTCTAACCTTCACCTGACATAATTTTTTTTTATTATTGTACTTTCAGTGAAAGTTTACAATTCAAGTTTGTTTCTCATACAAAAATGTATACATACATTGTTATGTGACCCTAGTTGCTCTCCCTGTATTGTGATAACATACTCCTCCTTTCCACCTCGGATTTCCTGCATACATCCAACCAGCTCCTGACCCTCTTTGCCTTCTCATCTCACCTCCAGACAGGAGCTGCCCATTTAGTGTCATGTATCTACTTGAGCTAAGAAGCACACTCTTCACAAGTATCATTTTATGTCCCATAGTCCAGTCTAATCTTTATCTGAAGAGTTGGCTTCAGGAATGGCTTTAGTTTTGGTCTAACAGAGAGTCTGAGGGCCACATCTTCCTGGGTCCCTCCAGTCTCAGTCAAACCATTAAGTCTAGTCTTTTTACTAGAATTTGAGTTCTGCACGCCACTCTTCTCCTGCTCCATCAGGGATTCTCTGTTGTGTTCCCTGTCAGGGAGGTCATTGGTGGTAGCACGGCACCATCTAGTTCTTCTGGTCTCAGGCTGACGAAGTCTCTGGTTATGTGGCCCTTTCTGTCTCTTGGGCTAATATTTTCCTCATGTCTTTGGTGTTCTTCATTCTCCTTTGCTCCAGGTGGGCTGAGACCAATTGATGTATCTTAGATGGCTGCCCGCTAGCTTTTAAGACCAGATGCCACTCACCAAAGTGAGATGCAGAACATTTTCTTAATAAACTTCGTTATGCAAATTGACCTAGATGTCCCCTGAAATGATGGTCCTCAGACCCCTGCTCCTGCTACTCTGTCCCTCGAACTGTTTGGTTGTGTTCAGGAAACTTCTTAGCTTTGGTCTAGTCCAGTTGTGCTGACTTCTGCTGTAGAGTGTGTTGTCCTTCCCTTCACCTAAGATAATTCTTGTCTACTGTCTAGTTAGTGAATACCCCTTTCTCTCTCTCCCCACCCTCGTAACCATCAAAGAATGTTTTCTTCTGTGTCTAAACCTTTTCTTGAGTTCTTATAGTAGTGGTCTTATATAATATTGGTCCTTTTGCGACTGACTAAATTCACTTAGCATAATGCCTTCCAGATTCCTCCATGTTATAAAATGTTTCAAGGATTCATCATTGTTCTTTACTGTTGCATAGTATTCCACTGTGAGAATATACTATAATTTTGTTTATCCATTCGTCCGTTGATGGGCACCTAGGTTGTTCACCTGACATAATTTAATTAGGATTCTGATTTATAACTCAATGGCTAAAACTCTCCCTCCCTCCTTCCTTCCTTTTCAATTTTTTTAAATTGTTAAATCTAACATAAATACAGAAAACCACGTGAAAGAAATACAGATTAATGAATTGTTTTTAGTCGTATTTTTCTTTTTGGTTTCGTGACCCACTTTTGTATTCCTAAACACTATGGTGTAGTTTTGTCCGCCTTGAAAGATCCTTTAAATCTCTTTTAATCTATAGGCTCTCCCTCATCTCTTTTTATTTTCCTTTCAATTTATTTGTTGAAGAAACAAGACGTTGTCTTGTGGTTTTCGTCAGTCTGAATTTTGCTGCTTGCTTTTCTGTGGCGTGGTTTAGCATTTCTCTGTGTTCTGTATTTTTATGTATTTGACTTGAATTTAGAGACTTAATCAGATTCAGGTTTGTTTTGTTCTGTTATGTTTTGCAAGAATACGTCCTCAAGAGGCACAAACCGTCTGTTGTCTCTCGTTTTGTGATGTTAGCAACCACTGATATACATCGCCTGGATCTTTGATCCATTTGTTGTTGTTGGCTGCAATCCGAGTCAGCCCTGACTCATGATG